AGACGGAGTGACCGCCGCAGAGTGAAAATGACTCACCTTGAATACAGCTAAACTCTCCTTGTCCATATATTTAAGAGAGTTTGTCTCTTTTTAATCCTGTCTGATAAGTTTGTCTAATGCTAAATCAAATTGACATGTTTTGATGCAAAATAATCTTATAAGATCCTTTACTTGTCTCACAGTGGGATCTTTTGACGTGGTATCTCCTCAAGTGAGTCCAGTTTTGACCTGGAGACTTGAAGAAAACCTGCAGCCACACCTGCCTTTTGAAGGACCGGTTTGACACCCCTACAAATACTTATTTATCTTTATATGTAAAATATTTAGAAGGAGATAGTCAGAATAAAGTGGACATGTGTAGTACCATTATTGCACATTCTTAACATGACATAGGCTATATCCACACGAATACAAAACGCTTATAATTTCAGAAACTTTTTCTGTAAACACGGAGTTAGCTCAGTAAATGTGTGCGTCCATATGAATGTAGTCAATACGCCTGAAAACGCTGTGAAACTATGCCAGACCTGTTGGTGGCGCTGTGACGCAATGACGGGATCAAGCCCAAACTTCCGTGACGGGAACTGGGCATGCGCGGAATTTTGTAAACAGACAACATGGCGAGTGGGCGAGCTGGTACTACATTAGTATGGACGGACGATGAGGTTGAACTGTTGCTTCGGGTCACACTGGATTACAAAACCAACAAGCTACATTGTTGTTGTCATTATTTTCTGAGTGCGGCGCATGCGTGCTTTAACAAGAGGCGGGGCGATGACGCAAGCGTCTCAGATACATTGCGGAGAGGCAGTAACCACGGAGCGGCATATACGGAGTTTTGAAATCTTTCCACTCTGGGACCTAGTTTCAAAAATGTTCGTTTACACCCCCCCAAAACGCCGGCCTCGTATGGACGATACACTGGATTGATAAAGTATTTTTGCGTTTAGGCCTGAGCTTGACTTCGTGTGGACAGGGCCATAGTACAACTCAGCAGTCATTGTTGTACAGTCTGACAGCAGGAGGAAAGAAGGACTTGTGAAATCTGTTTCTCTTTATGCTGTATACCGACAATAAAACATGTCTTTTGTTGTTCAGATGGGAACAAAATCATAAACAGAGCATTTGATACATATTGGTTCAGTGTTGTTTTATGACTGCATTATTTTCAAATACTGTATAACTGAATGTTTCCTGTTCCTCTTGTGGAATAACTAAGATGTCCTTAGTTATTTTGTCAAATACAGGCCTAGTGCTGTATCACCTGGTAGAATTCATCTCTCTCCTTGAGGTCAACGTTTACTGCACTGTCTGAATAAACGTTTTTATGTCACATCTTTATGTCAGCTCAAAAGGACTTAGGACAGGCCTGTCCAAACTCAGGCCCGCGGGCCAATTGCGGCCCTCTGTGACATTTTATGTGGCCCTTCTGCTGCTAACACAAAGTTGCCATTGCTGCACTTTGACAGTGTCATCCAACCAACTTCAGCTCCACCAATACAGTCACGCTATATCTTGTTGTGAATATCAGACCCTCTAGAATCCAGTCGTTGACTTTGTTGTCACAACACTCAAAATAAAATGCAGCTGTAATGTTAATCAATAAGGATGTATCATAACCCATCGTGAATTCTATTATCCAGTAAATCCAGCTTGAATCCAGTTTTTTAAATCCAGGTTGTCGGCCCAGTCTGATGATCTAAAGTGGCCCTCTTGCAAAAACGTTTTGCTCTTGCTTAGCCAATCAATACTCAGCCCAAGGAGTCAAATAGTGACTCTTCAAAAGACAAACAAAATGTATTATTGAAGATAAGATAAGATAAAAGAACCTCGTCCCACTGTGGGTAAATTTCAATGTTGCAGCGCACATACAAGACAGTAAGAGCATACAGGGAGCACTGTTAGCTAGCTGTAAATGCTTCAACATCAATATACCGATACATTTCTATCTATATTGTAAAGTTTTATGGGGAAGGTTAGTAAGTAGATAAAGTGACATTCAGTGGACATTCTAAAATTGCACATTGTACATGATTGCAGATTTTCTTTTTAAAGATGACATACATGTACAGGCTCAGCTTATTAATGAAAGAAGAAAGTTAGGTACCCCAGCTTTAAGTTTGGTATAGTTATGTATAGGAATGCCTTCTATCTTCAGAGCATCTTTTCTTTCCCCTTGCACTAGCTCCTTATGGCAGGAGGGGGGGGGGGGGGTTTGCAGATGGCCTGGACAGAGAGCTGGCGAGCGAGGGGCGAGGGGAGAGGTGAGAGAGCGGCGGGCTTTTTTGGCAGGGTCGGGCCGGTGTGGTGGGAGGGCCCATTGTGATGCAACGTTGCATACATAATGCCACAGGGTTCTAAATGCAGCGTTGCCATGGCGACTTTTGTGCCTGGTTGAACTCAGTGTGTGTGCCCCAAAGGAGAAGAGAGTGAGAGAGAGACGTAGGGACTTGCAGCCAGCTCAAATGACACTTGTAGTCTTTCTTGCCTTCCTCAGAGCAGGACAGATGAGCTTTCCACCCAGGGAATGCCAGGCTTGTTTTGTCCAGAGGGGAGCAGGGGGAAAAGCAAGGATTTTCCATCGCTGGTGTGTTTAAATGAAGTATGGTCCATGTGAAGGTATGTCTAACTGTGTCTGATCTCTAGTGACGCATCCCTTCCACAATTCTCTTTCCTTTTTTGTGCAACTTTTCCGCAATTTCTTGCCATGGTGGCCCCCGGAGACCTCAGTAACAGGTGTCGGACTGTCAGACGGAATTGGAGGGAGCCACGGCGACGAGATGGAAAGGGCTTTGTGTCTGTGTTTTTCAGGGAGCTTGAACAATCTGCGCGGTTGCAAGCAAAGATAGTTAGTCAGATCGCTTACAGACGCTCGGCCCATTCAAGCTGCAAGAGACAAACAACCAACAATAACAAGCTTTATGTGTCAGACGGGTGCTTTTCACGCACAAGCAGATGGGGAGATTTGAACGCACTTGACTGCAAATACCTGCTTGTTTGGTCTCCTTTGATGAATTTTACTATTGTGGCATCTGTTAAGGAAATTGTTGTCTACTTTGTCTAATTACCCGATAGCGAAATGTACAGATTTGCAGAAGAGAGGACTGTAGTGAGTGATTGTACCATAAAGTGTAGAAGATTTCATAAAATGGTTTGTTTATGTATAGATTCTTGAGCAGCGCTTGCTACTCTGTATGGATTATAGAGGCTGCGGAATTTACCCTTGAACTAGAAGAGTCCTGTAAGATAGGAGTGGAAGGTCTCTTGTTTTTGATTTTAAACAAAGATACTTCCTACTGTCTGCCTGTTTAGTCTGATGGCTGCATGTGATATGTTATGTGTTATGTTACCGCATTATAGGATTCATCTGCATTTAGCACACTTCTCTTCAGCTCCACTATCACACTTTATCTGGAGCTTTATGTGGGAACACAGGGCACTTTGAGGTCAGCTGCTTTATATAAGCTTCATAATGTTGTTTGTCTATATGTGCACTGACCTGCACGCTTCTTTGGATCCACATTGTTCGCCTCTGAATATGGAAACCACGTGGCTTGGCGCAGAATCAATGCAAATGTGTACATGCCATACGTGATGGAGACGTGACAAGAGACAAGAATGTGGATGTAGCTATCAAAACCTGAAATGAGACTGGACTGGACACTTTTCTTAATTACATATAAATCACATCTTCCTTGTGCTCTTGTCTTGATTTCTCTCCTTTCTAGCTGTAATTTGGGTAAAACCAGTTGTGTTTATTCAGCTCTAATTACTGCGGGAGTAAATAGAAATGCTATAATCAGCTGTTGGTTTGTTTGCTCATCGGGTAATTTGTGGTTTTTCCTCACACAGCACCCTGCATGAATTAAGCATGAAGACCGATTAAAACAATGCAACATTTCATTTGCATAGACCACCTGTGTTTTGTGTCCACAAATGGGTTTACAGTCATTATCCACACAAAATCACCAAAGACATTATATAGACTTGAAACTTGGTCAAAACAAAAGTCTGGTCAATTACTTGATTTCAAAGGGAACAGGATTTCCAATTGAATCACCAGACCTTTGCACCTGTTATTCTTTGTTTGGAGCGTCCATGTCTTGGAATAGACATCTTGGAATAGCCATGCATACTGTAGTCCTTATCAGTTTAATTAATTTTTCTGTGGTGTGTGGTTGAATATGACATTACGTGTTCAACTTTACAGCTTCCCTTCCACATCACATTCACTGCATATTTATACATGAATCGTGTTTTACAACTTTTCTCTTTCGTAAGTATCTGCAATCTATTGATGAATGAAAACCTTGGTTGCACAGAAACACATTTGACATTTGGGCGGCTTTAGTTTGGTGTCACAGTGTGTGATACAGCAGAATCTCCACCCAGTCTGGCTCTGTGCGAGTGGCAGACTCTCTCTGCTGCTCTCCCTCCACAGCTCACAGTCCATTTCACAACAATTAAAATGTTTCAGGAATCAGAGAGCCAATGTTCAAACTGTAATTAGAGCTGTACAGCATTATAATATCATGGGTAAAATATATGTTTTTGTCCCTGTAGGGAAATATGTCCTCTGCATTTGACCCATCCTGTCATGTCACAAGGGCAACCTGTCAGGAGGAAACCGCAGTGCAGCTACAGTAGATGTTGGTGATTGGTGCTCTGCTTGATCAGGACTACAGCAGCAGGAGGATTTTATAATATCATGCTAAACTTAAATGACATGTATATACAGTTGAATGCTTTGGTTAATGAACAGTTTTGTTATTTTGTGATTTTTAAGAAACCAAAAACGTCTCTACAGAGAATTTAGCCACAGTCCCCTAACTCTGGAACACATGCAACAGTTGGACTCTGGACATTTTCAATAATTTTCTGTATTTTTATATCTGTATTGAGTGATCTTCTTTCATATGTGTTTTAAGTTCAGTTGAAAGGCGGCATAAAAAATAATCAGTTATCATAAATAATGATGAAATCCCTGTTTTTCTCTGCAGGAGCTGCAGTTTGAACGCTTGACCCGGGAGCTGGAAGCCGAACGCCAGATTGTTGCCAGTCAGCTGGAGAGATGCAAGCTTGGCTCTGAAACTGGAAGCATGACTAGCATCAGGTGAGTTTGCATGTGTCATTTTGCACCTGTCCTGCTCTCTCCCCTTCACACCAATCCGTGGACCAGCTGTGATCCTGCAGGTTACTCTTGTATGGCCTCCAAATTTCATGTCTTTGTCAAACTGCTCCATGATTTTTCACCATTCGCACCAGATGGAGTGAGTTCGACTGTTCCCACACACTCGCTATATTCACTTCACTGTGCTACTTCACAACATGCTTTTGAACTGGGTTACGTGCCACAAAAGCAGTTTGAAACATAGCAGTTATAGGTTACACAATATTACATTAAAAATGCCCCATTGTTCATATGCATCACTATATGTACATTTTTAAACATGATTTTTCAAAAGTGAGACACATTTCACATTGTCGTCATTGCACATTATAGTTGCCTTTAAATCCATAAAAAAACATGGTTTTCTTCTCCAGCCTCAAGGCATCCTTCAGAAAATAATAACAACATGCGTTTCATGAGGGATAACCAATAGTGACAATAGTGGACAAGAATAGGTTGTTGTATCGACGAGTGACCAAGGCTGTAAATAATGATCTGTTTGTGTCTATTATGGAAAGGGCATCACAAAATGTCCACAAAATGTTTTGGCTTCTGGGAGGATGGTTTTTAAAAAATTGCATCACTTCTTGGATGAAATGTGTTTCATCATGCAATCAGTTTATTTTGTTCTTAAAAACAGCCTTGAAGGACCCAAAAAAGCAAGCATTATTCCCATTGATTAAAGTGGGGGTAAGTAAGTAATCTTTATTTATATACCGCCTTTCACAGACCAGAGTCACAAAGCAGTTTACAAATGTTATTTTTTTGGGCAATTGTCCTCTCACTCCACACAGAGATGGGAGCGGGGTCGCCGAACAGGAGGCGCATGCCAGAACTATTGTACATATTTTTGGTGGTAGGGGAAACCGGAGTACCCGGAGGAAACCTACGCAGACACGGGGAGAACATGCAAACTCCACTCAGAAAGGCCCTGGTCCGACTGGGTTTTGAACCCAGGACCTTCTTACTGAGAGGCGAGAGTGCTATCCACTCAGCCACCGTACCGCCCAGGGACCGTCCCTTAAGTAACATTTTGTCAACTAATCAGACCAGATGTTGTCTGTATCTTATTAGTGATCATGTTCTTGTTTAGATACTGAGAGCTGATTGGCTGAGTGGTGCGCTGCACTCTCTTTTTCACTGAAAAAGCAGATCTAAGGATATGGCAACAATACTGTACATGCAGGTGAAAACTAGTGATAGAACTAAGGAGGCCCATGTTGAGAGAGGGATTGGCTCCCACGGATGTGCAGGCTGTAGAACCAGGAATGAGGCTGTAAATCCAGGACTCAGGTTGTAGATCCAGTAATGAGGCAGTAGATCCAGTAATGAGGCAGTAGATCCAGGAATGAGGCTGTAGATCCAGGAGTTGAGGCTGTAGATTCGGAACTAAGGCTGTAGATCCAGGAATGAGGCTGTAGATCCAGGAGTTGAGGCTGTAGATTCGGAACTAAGGCTGTAGATCCAGGAATGAGGCTGTAGATCCAGGAGTTGAGGCTGTAGATTCTGAACTAAGGCTGTAGATCCAGGCTTGAGGCCGTAGATCCAGGACTCAGGCTGTAGATCCAGAACTAAGAGCTACAGATCCAGGACAAAAGAGACTTCCAGACAGGAAGGGGAGGTGCAACCGGTGGGAAACCAGTTCACAGATGCAGGTTGAAAAGATATATTTTGTTACATTCAGAGCCATTATTTGTGGTTTCAAAGTTCGGTACTCAAGCCTTAACCAACACATGGTCCAAACAAGTTTGTCTAATGCATGCAGGCTGCCACTTGAACCACCGTAACAGGATTATTGTCAACAGTGTACCTCTGTTGCCCACATCTAAACAGCATCCACATAATCCATCATCTACTCTCCCCTTTGATTCCTTTAGTGAGTTGGGATCCCATCCGTCTCACACTAATTACTCATCTTCCACCATTGTGCCGCTCAATGCACTTGAAGAGTTGGCTGAACAAAGAAATGGCTGCACCGACTGAAAACCGTTTTGTTCACAAGTCTAATTAGCCTGTGGGTTCGTTTAGCTTTGCAGGGCAGGTCTCTCAAGCAATAACATAAGATGGAGGCGACATGTCTGCGATTTCACTGCACCATGCGCCGTGGACTGAATAACTGCTGCCATCTTGCTAACTTCATTACATAGGTTTATTGTATTGAGGCTTGAGAGTGTATAAGCCATTGGTTTTTATGTGCTGTCTGCTTTGTATGACTTGGGGTGTAATTACCAAATGGACAAATGATTGGGCCAAACACAAGTCCTCAAAGGCAATAAGCTGCACAGAGGACGGTCGAGCATTGTGCGGCAACGATTTATTTTTCAATTACCTCAAAAACATTGTATTATTTCTTCTCCGGGAGTTTTATTTGTTTAGAGCAGTCTTTGTCCGCACAACATGAAGGCAACATTTAATATCAATACACAGACAAAAACAGATCTGGAAAGTACACATGGCTGGAGCGGTCCACAGAATTTCAATTAATCTCAAATCAAAAGGAGGTTGTGGATGTGCTGTTGGTGGAGTGCTTCACCAGTAAGAGCAGGATCAGTGGTCCCAAATGAACCTTAAGTGATGCGTCCCTTTGTTGTTGTTCACTATTCGTATTCCTTAATACAAGGAGAGGTTTTGATACAAATGGCTTCAGTTTTGTTTTCTATTTTTTGTGGCAACCTCAAAAATGGCTACACTTTTTTTGTTTTTTTAATGCCTTGAAACTAAATATCGGGTTAAATTGGCCTCTTAAAGAGATCTTCAAATTTACTGGTAGCATTTTTTATCATTGGAATTGGGCATAAAACAGGAAACTGTTGGGCTAAACATAAAGTGTATATCTAAAACTCAATTCCAGATACATTTTCTATGCTAATTGACTCTCTGCAGCTGTAATTGGTTGAAGGCAGCTCTATAGAGTGTAGAAAAAGATAAAAGGAAATAGATTATATATGTCACAATAGTTATCCAGTTCCTACTGTTCGACCCATTGAGAACCACAGATTTAAATGATAGATTCAGAATAGAGACCATTAGCATTCACCACAGGTGGTGCTAAACCATTAGCTGATTAGCACTAGCTTTAGTCAATGCTGCAGCCGCCTGTCCTCCCTCTCAAAGTGAAATACATTGCTCCATGTTATTTCGGGTGGATTTTACTATCCACCAGTATAAATAAAACAGAAGAAATATACCAATGTACAATAGGCCCACCACCTAATCTTGGATGTGTCCATACACATCTGCAGCTGTGCTGTGACCTGAAGGGCTGTTGCTGATTATTACTATTGTTAGCTTTTTAGAATTATGAATTTTATTTTTTTATTTTTGCTGCTACTGGACAAATGAATTTCTCTGACAGGGATCAATAAAGTATCTATCTATCTTAACTATATCCTTATGCTGCTAATAGATACAAGTTGTAACCTTCACTGTATGTACTAGTCTGGAACTCCCTAAGTGTACATATAGTTGGATAGATTTTAAGCACAAAGAAAGGATTTATCATCTAATATTTATATACATAGTTCATCTTCTATTTCTACTGTTCTGTAGTATGTGCTGCAACACATTCCGCCGGTGACTGACCCCGTAATCTTATCCTAATGACAGTTGTGGATGTTTGGTTATAAAATGAACAACAATGTCAATGTTTGAAGCAGCAATTAAGAAGTATCTTTTTGATGCTCCTAATATATAAAATGTAACCATGGTTTATTTCCTTGTTCAAGTCTGTATTAAACTGTTTCCAATCGTGCATTGGACATGTTTTTTAGAATATGATTTCTCTCCCTACTCTTTGCTTAACAGTCTAAGCATCTTGCCTCTGTTATTGCTGTCACATGTGCAAGGTATGGGGCATTGAATGGGCTATTAATAATCCATCCATCCATCCATTTTCTTCCCTTTAATCCATTTCTGGGTCAGGGGGGTGGCAGTCAGAGATGCCACCCAAGTCTCATAGCACCAGCCCCTCACTCACCCTCTGCAGGTGGTGAGTCCACAGGAGGACGGCTGCTCTCTGACTGTGAGCATAGCCTTGATCTTTCAGTGGGGGCTTTGGGCAAAGTGGGGTTAAGTGTCTTGCCCAAGGACACAACGACAGCAGTCATCAGTGGGAGTCGATGGAGAAGGTGCATAGGTGGGAATTGGGAATTGAACCCACGACCTTCTGGCCTTAAGGCCAATGCTCTACCAACTGAGCTACTGTCGCCCCTGACAGCCCTACTGAGCTATTAATAATCCATAAACCAAACAGACAGCCATTGAACTAGCACAGGTTGGGTTTCAGTTTTCTGAGTAACCCCCAAGCGTATATAGCTATAACATTACCAACGGTGTTATGACTGGGAACAACACAATGGAGTTGGCTGCTGTCTTGTGCTTTGAACAAAACTGCACATTGTTGCTTCTTGGCGTTCCAAGAAGGGTACAATGAGTAAGAGCATGATGATTTTTAACTTGACATTCAGCATATTTCATTTTGTTTGCTAAGAGTTGAATAATGAATGCGTTTTTCATCTTGTGGGTTCAGTAAAAAAGAAAAAAAATCTGTTATTTTGCAAAAGACAAGAGTGGTGCTAATGGGACTATGAGCTGCGTTTTTGTTTCCAGCCTTAATCAGTCGCACAGGTCACAGAGAGGACCGCGGCATCTGCTACTGCTTCCACACTTAAAATCATCAGGCAAAAGTGCAGCGAGAAGAGAGATATATGGTCCGTCATTAGTCATTAGTCATGTCTGTTCACTCATGCCAACAGGTGGGGAAAGGAAAACTCTTGTCATTGCCTTTAAATATTTATCAGCAATTTACTTTCTAAAATGGATGCTGCCAGTAGAATCAACATTATACAGCGATTCCTCAATAGGCAACCTTTTTGATTGCTATGATTGTCTTAAGAATACGGAAGTAGAAAGCAAGTATGTCTGTATGTTGGACAGCAGAATGT